CCATCTTCCATGAAGCAAGCATGTCCTGTCATCTCACCAAAACAGTAGAACGTTCTCCCCATCAAGCTCCTGAAGACACTAAACAATCTTGCTGCTCTCTGGATAAAACCCAGCAATCTGAGCAAAATTGCTCTTTAACTAACTATGCAGGAGCCAACTCTTCAGGTTTTATCATGTAAATTAGTCATACAGTGCAATTCCTAACTTCACTATCTTTCATATAGGCCTATGGGGCTTGGTGAATAATGCAGGCGTTTCTGTACCGACTGCTCCTAATGAATGGCTAACTAAAGATGACTTCAAGAAAATTCTGGATGTGAACCTCTTAGGGGTGATCGATGTCACATTGAATATGCTGCCTTTGATCCGAAGAGCCCACGGACGGGTTGTTAATGTGTCCAGCATTGCTGGGAGAGTGGTTATCTGCGGAGGAGGATACTGCCTTTCTAAATATGGAGTGGAATCTTTTTCAGACAGTCTAAGGTAAAATCCATTTTTAAAAAAAAATACAATTAATATCAAATATTATAGTAAAAACTGTAGTTCTATGCTGTAGTTTTTATTGTTCACGCTTGGAGTAAAAATGTTTACACAGTTACTGTACAGTGTAAATGCATTATGATTATAAAACCACATAGTTAAAAATACATTCTGATTATTTACTAGATATGTAAGATTCATTTTGTTCCGAATTGAAATTTGGACATACATTGGCATATTTGGACATTCGCATGCATCTGAAATTCTGAATGAAAGAAATAACTAATCTGAACGTATCCAAATTTTGGATGCATACGAAATTTTTTCCCAATGTCATTTGCACGGCTCAAAATTTCAAGTCCTGATCTACTAGCCAGGCCTTAAGAGGTACTCTCCACCAGTTGCCCCGCCTAACCCCTTCCCTGTCCAGGCCTTAACTCCACCCCTAAACACACCCTCTTAAATTATACTATGAAATTGCACTGTCGAATGTTTTATTCAGAATAAATATTAACAACTTTAACAATATTGACAGCTATAGAGGACTATAATTCTCAGCAACACTTTCTCCAAAAATGCAGAATGGCACCAGCTATAGAGGACTGCAACTCCCAGCAACACTTTATAGAGAAATGCAGAATGGCATCAGCTATAGAGGACTGCAACTCCCAGCCACACTTTATAGAGAAATGCAGAATGGTAATGGGTCTAGAGGACTACAGCTCTCAGCAAAACTTTATAATGGATGGCATTAATCTGTATTTCTGTATAAAGTGTTGCTGAGAGCAGTAGTCCTCTATAGCGTTACCATTCTGCATTTCTGTATAAAGTGTTGCTGGGAGTTGTAGTTCTCTATAACTGATGGAATTAATCTGCATTTCTGTATAGAGGACTACAAACATGTCACAGAACATAGGCACATAGATGAAAACATCACCTTATCTGACTGTTCTCCCGGCGGGAACACCATACAGCAGGGAGAGTCGGCGGGCTCTGTATTCAGGTGGCTGCTTGCTGGGTCCTCCCGGTCAAGGCCCCAGCGCTGCCCCATAGTGTGCCTGCAGGCTGCTCTGCAGTACAATTATGTACTTCCGCCTCCTGGCTCCTTCCTCACTGCCAGCCTGCCTGCGCCCCCATTTTCTCTTCCCCCATCCTGCCACTGGACCCGTGCCTGACTCGCCCTCACTTTATTGCCACTCGCCAAATGCGAGCTGGCGAGTGGAAATTTTGAGCCCTGTCATTCAGGTTGAACTTGTGGTGTTAAATGTTTAAATATAAAAAAGGAAAAAAACAGGGTGGAGTCCCCTTACAAATTCATACCAGACCCTTTAGGTCTAATAGGCATTTTGAGGGGGGACCCCAACACCAAAACGTGTGGGGTCCCACCTAAAATACCCTACCAGACCCTTAAACCGAGCAGCAGGAAAGCGCCACCCCCCCCGCCGCACCATAGCAGGCCAAATTCCCTCATCATGGGAGGATGCTTTGCCAGGGGAGAGAAAAAAAAATCCCCCACTGTTGCATCCGATCGAGACCAATACAGGCCAAAAAAATGACAGCTCTGTTTCTGAATGTCAACAAAGGCAGGTTGTTTTGTGCTGTGGCACCTGGTCCTTTGTATCTTCAAGGACATTTCAAGGCTGAAAATTTGCAGAGCTGCAGATGAAATACAATATTTGACAAATTAAAGTATTACTATAAATCCAAACCTAAGGAGTTAATTGTGTCCTTCTAGAGCGGACTACAGATTGTGATGTTTATAATAATGATCAAGTTATGTTATGTAATAATTGGAAAGAATTGTATTTGCAAATGGTTGGTGGTTGGCTGTCTCTTGTTAATGCAGTGGAAGGTCTCTCGTTATTCTTTAAACATTCTAAATCTTTTAGGCGTGAGATGATCCCCTTTGGTGTGAAGGTCAGCATTATAGAGCCAGGCTACTTCAGAACTGGTATGTGTGATCCTAACCATTTTTTGGAAAATGTAAAGAGATGCTGGGAGAAGTCACCAGATGAAGTTCGGAAGACGTATGGGCAGGCTTTCTTTGAAAGATGTGAGTGTTTATGAAACATGTGGCCCAGTATTGCTAAACTGTTAAAAGTTCATAACATTTTATTAATAAACCACCACAAATGTAGGGATGGATAGCAGAGCTCAGACCAATCATAACAGTTTTTAACCTTTCATGAGCAGAGACCATTAATGTCTAGATGAGACCGAACATGGCAAGGTGAATATGCATGCATAAACGTTCCAATAACCCTAATTTGCCTACCAAAATATTTTTGCAACTTTTTTCATAGTTGTAGGGCTGTGGAAATTAACGATTAATTGTTAATTTTTTTGATCGGTACTCACCTCTCCGCCGGCTTCCGGGTCTTCCGGTGATGTCACGGACATCAACGTCACCGGACTCCTCCCCCCTTCCCCAAATGGCTGTGTCAGCTAACGAAGGGAAGGGGGGAGGAGTCCGGTGACGTCGATGTCCGTGACGTCAACGGATCTCCGCCAGGACTCGGAGGTTTGGTGTCATATAGTTGTTTCTCGTGTGCAATTATTTGCATTGTTTAAAATAAAGTATTTTTTACTGAACTAAGTGGCTACTCCAACCCTCTATAACTACTTTGGCCTGATTCTTTCTTGGTGCCGAGCCTTGCAAAGTATTATATGTTTAGTTAAGGGTTGTTGAGTATAGCCATGTGCTAACCTCATTGGTGAGGAAAGGGTTAATGGACACGGCAGTTATGTCTCTGGATAAACTTTCTTTTCTTTCATACACACTAGATGCTAATGAACACTTAATACTTGACGTCAATGGGGTTAAACCAACATTTGTAGGAACAGCTTTCCTGGAAGGGCAGGGAAAGATACAGAAATAATGCACATGGATTCTACAATGTGGGTGGATGCTCCCATTAGGGTTCTCAGTAGAGGGCTGCAGGAAAATACGATACAAACGCAACTCAAGCCAACACATATTTCTAGTTTTGAATAGCGAAGGAGAAAGGCTAGACACACTTAGGGTTTTATTATTTTTATTGTCAGTGTCCTTGTGGTATTTGTGGTATTTTAGAAGGTCAAACAGTAAAAAAGGAAGTCAGTTAACGTTGCAATAGATGCATATTAGATTGCGTTAGCTATACTGAAATATTTACACTAGTTATAGATTCTACTAGCCTCATAATATAATATCAGGGGTATGGACCACTTGGGCAGGTGAGTTTGCCCAAGAAACTTTCTGCACGAGCGCCAGCCAAGGCATTGGCCTATTCACATACAGCACAGCAATGAAGTAATAAAATGAACTAGGATCACACTAATCCAGCACGTTATTATTCTGAGTTGCCCCACTCAAGCGGCGGCCATATTGAGTGGGGCACGTGAGATTAATAACGTGCTGGATTAGTGTGATCCTAGTTCATTTTATTACTTCATTGCTGTGCTGTATGTGTATAGGCCAATGTAGTTGGATCTGTATGTGCGTTATAGTTAATCGAAATTAATCGATTAATCGATTGAAAAAAAAATTTGATTCATCGAACACGAAAATTTTAATCATTACCAGCCCTACATATAAGGCATATATATCAAAGTTGTAATACCCTGTTTCGATGTCTTCTTATAGTCTGACATATGAACAAAAATGTAAAGGTATTTTTACAAATATTTTTACACTGTTAAACACATCACTGGACTATATTCTTTAAGACAAGTACTTCTTTCTGTGTTCACATGGAATTAAACAAAGCTATGTTATTACCATGTCATAGCTGGCATGGAGGTCACATAATGAGAAACAATACTGATTTGGTTGCTGATGACAAATCTTCCCTGACACAATGACAGCATGGGCATGAAATAAGCAGGAATGCACGCTGCTCATTTGAAAATTTCAGACTAATGTTTTTTCCACTGCACGGGTTATTGTGCAATGAAACATTATGCAACAGACTACTGATGCAATGGGGGTTAAAATTCTAAAATGTCATTCAGTACCATCTTGGAAGTAGTTTACCTCACTGGTAGAATAGTCTATGCTATATTGATACCTCAATCAGATGTGTCTAAACAGGAGAGCCCCCTTCCTGTCAATGAAATCTGACTATTACAGTACATGATGGAATCAGATTCCTCTGGGTTCTTAACGTAACTTGGCTCTTTGCTACTTGTACAGTTTCATTAATTAAGCCAGCCAGTGTGTTGCACCATATTCAGAATTGGTTATTTGTAAAGTGCTATGATATTCCTGCGTATCTTTATGCTCTGGATATATATTTTCAAGGTTGCAGCAGTGATTTACATGCTAACAATTTTCAACACCTCTTTTCTCATTTATGCCAACCTTTCTAAGCTTCACCCTATAGGCAATGTATAGATTTATGTTGGATATGAGTCGTAATAGGTTTTCAAATCATTAAAACCTTGCTGTTTGTTCACACAGATTACCAGGGAGTGGCTAAAGGCCTTTCAATGACCAATAAGAATCTTAATATGGTAACAGAGTGTATGGAGCACGCTCTTACAGCTGTCTACCCAAAGACGCGATATTCTGCTGGCTGGGACGCCAAACTTTTCTTCCTGCCTCTTTCCTACTGCCCAGCTGTGGTAGTGGATTTCCTCCTCATAAGAAGACCAATATAGGATAAGAGCACACACAACGACAAATAGTTCAGTTGAATGTGCAAGGCATACATAATAATGTAAATAAATATATCCTGTTTTTGCAAAACGGCTGCATCTAATCCAATATGTGAGCTTGGTATGCGCACACACACACACACACACACACAACCTTCCCAGTAAGACACTCGCACTCACACACTAAGATTATTCTGCTAAATTAAACTTAAATACACTTCAAGTGGAACTAATCTAAAACAGGAAAAGTTTGCTGGACATTGTAAGTCTCTCCATCCAAAAAACTGCTTTACGCATTTGCTAGCAAACTCTTACCTTTGCCTAAACTGGCTGTGGTGCAGACAGGGCCGATGCTAGACTATTTTGCGCCCTAGGCAAGACCAGCTACTTGCACCCCCCCTCCCCCAATCCCCCCCCCTTGCGCAGCCCTATTCTCCTGCGGGTTAGCTTCTGCAGGCGACAGGTGGATGTATTTTAATTTGAAATAGCCAATAGCAGACTGACTATTGAAACCCCACCCACTGAGCAGAGGAGCGAACCTGAGAGAGAAAGTTGTCTCTCAGTTACGCTCCTCTGCTCAGTGGGCGGGTGCAATAGCCAGCCTGCTATTGGCTTTTGCAATTTGAAATAGATGGGGGTGCTGTGGGGGGTGAATGGTCAAGGATGCGCCCTGGGTAGCAGTGCGCCCTAGGCGGCTGCCTAGTTTGTCTAGTGGCAGCACCGGCCCTGGGTGCAGAACAGTACAGATCTACACTGCCATCATCTGTAAGATACCGAGAATGGAGCCAGGTGTTTTTGGGATGTTGTAACTCTAGTGTACATGCACAGGGGCTACATCTTAAGCAAGTATCCACATAATGGAAATTGCTTTGGGGAACCACAGTGGGTTTAGTTCCACTTTTGGGCCCATTTACATATGCAACGATCAGCCATAACATTATGTCCACTGACAGGTGAAATGAATAACGTTGATTATCTCATTACAATGGCACCTGGAAGTGGGTAGGGTATACTGTATTTGGTAGGAAGTTAACATTTTGTTCCTGAAGTTGAGGTTAGAAGCAGAAAACATGGTCAAGCATAAGGATTTAAACGACTTTGTATGGGAAGAAGGTAAGCCAGCCGAGACAGTGTGGTGCTTGGGCAATGTTCTGTTGGGATTCCTTGGGTCCTACCATTCATGTGGATGTTTCTTTGACCTAAACATTGTTGCTGGCCAAGTATCCCCTTTCATTGAAATGGTATTCCCCAATGGCAGTGACCTCTTTCAGCAGGATAATGTGCTCTGCCAAACCTTAAATATGGCTCAAGAATGGTTTGCGGAACCCAACGTGTTTGACGTGAGCCTCAAATGCTCCAGATCTCAACCCAATCAAGCATCTGGGGGATGTGCTGGAAAAACAAGTCTGATCCATGGAGGCCCTACCTCGCAGCTTACAGGATTCAAAGAATCTGCTACTGACGGTTTGGTGCAAAGGTTCGGAGGTCTAGTGGAGTCCATGCCTCAATGGGTCAGGGCTGTTTTGGTGGCAAAAGGGAGGCCTACACAATATTAGGCGGGTTGTCATAATGTTGTGGTTGATTGGTGTACAGTATATGTTGCAGTAACGCACCAAACACACTAAGGGAGCTCACATATGTAGCAGTGTACCACAACACACCTTATAGCACTAGCTTGCACTAGGCTGCTAGAAAATGTGCCTTAGCAGCCCAGTCAAATGTATGGGTTGGGTCTCCAACCTCTCAAAGTATCATCCTAACCGTCCTCTCCGCTCCTCCCGAGACCTCCTGCTCTCTAATTCCCTCCTCAACTCCTCCCATTCTTGCCTCCAGGACTTCTCTAGAGCCACTCCCATTCTTTGGAACTCCTTACCCCAACCTGTCTGTCTATCTCCTACTCTGTCTGCCCTTCACTAAAGACTCATCTCTTCAGGGAAGCCTATCCCACCTCAAACTAACCACTGAACTATTTGTTCTCAAACAATTCATCCCAACACAGCTGCCTCCTCATGTATCACTTGCCCCTCCCTTTTAGATTGTAAGCTCTCACGGGCAGGGTCCTCCTTACCATTTTGTCTTGAATTGTATTGTAATTGTAATTTCTTCCCTATATTGTAAAGCGCTGCGCAAACTGTTGGCGTTATATAAATCCTGTATTATAATAATAATAATTTTGCAATTGCATATTATGCAATTAAAACCTATGTTTTGAACCGTAATAGTTAGACAGTGTATTTTGTTTGGGTTTTTTTGCAGTCGAGCTGGTAAGTGTGCTGGACATTTTTTGCCTTTGTACTAGCTACACTCCTGCTTGCGAGGTGCCTTGTTCCTGCATTTGGTTTCTGTCAGAATGTTTATACTGCTCTGATATATAGTCTTATGTTTATGGAAACAATTAAGAATCTATAATTAAGGAGATTCCCAACGTATTTCCATAAATCAAAATTTACACGAGTTCTTTCATTTGCACTGACTTTGAAGACAAGAGGAATACAAAAGTATACAAAATATATATATTTATTAATTAAAAATCAGTGCAGAATAATAATAAAAATATAATTGGTAACAAACAAAGAATATGGATCAGATGATATCAATCAATTTGATAACACAGGTAATGCGAAAAATGTAACTACAGGATATTGTTCAAAATATAAATGTAACCAAAAATAAAAATTACTTTTTAAATGTAATGGGTATCTTCTCAGTATCTCACAGAATAAGAAAACAAAAGGTTCAGAATTGACAAGTGACTTCTCCCAGCACAGATTTTCACAAACTCAAACTTTTAACAGCGCATGGGCAATATTTATCCCATCATGCACAGGACTGGCAATAAGCCAAGACCATTCAAAGTAGAGAAAAAATTCCACCAGTTTAATTCAATATATATCAGACTAGACCATTGACTAGAAACTGAAATCAGTTTCCTGGAGATTATACAAATGTATATAACAATTGTATATATTTATCTCCCCAAATTGAAAGACACAATTTTTACTGCAGTTAAAAATTATCTCAAATCAATTTAGATCCTACAAGAACTCAATGGTTTACCCGAATATATATATGTGGCTAAAGAATTGCCTGATATACAGATAGAAAGTATACTTTACTAGCAATTTAAACTTAGTTGTTGGGAAAAAGCCAGCAGTCAATGCTCAGAAACCAGGAATGGTCAGGTTCTCTTTAGTTCAGTTTCCTTGGACAGCCGTCCTCAGCTTCTGACCTATACCCTTGGAATGTATTTGCTTACTGCCTACTTCGTGTTGGAATTCGGGTTCTGGTCCCTGGTCCTTCCATTGCTACTCACTTTTATCTCCCCGTGGGTTGTGGGCTTGGTTTGGTCTTCCACGTGATTATTGACGTGGACCATGAGGTCAGATATATCATTTTGCCATATACCTTTCCCTCACAATCACCATCAGGGTGTACTATTGTTATATATAAAAGTTTGGAACATTTAATTTAATTCTACTATTTTCTAAAGATAAAGCAGAAAGATAACCTCTGACCTAAGCTATGGACAACCCATAAAGATAGTAATGAATAACATCTCATGACAACCTCTTGTCTGACTTTTAGTCTACTTCTTCGATTTACAACCTTAAGATAATCTAACCTAAAGCAATTAACGTTCTTTCTCCAAATACATTGAAAGTGAGGTAATTGCTTTCAAGACCCAGAGGTTTTTTTTCATACATTATAAGAAAAGAATATACATTGGCATGTACCACTTAATTCTTTGAACTCAAAATATAAAATTATTCATTATTAGTAATACACACTGATATATTTCAATGGATACACTCAAACAATATATAATGAACATAGTTTGGATATTATAAAAGTACATGTATCAAATTTTACTTGAAATTATTCAATTAAGTAGGCATGTAGATGCTGCATATAATATAATAATATAATAACATTATTGCTAATATTATCACCACAATGAATAGTAATGTTTCATAAGGAACTTTTAAATAAGCCCCTTTCTTCTATTGACTGAGCAAAGAAAAAAAAAACTTTTTAGACATTTCAATCACTGTACGTTGTCTTTTGGGGAGGCAAGAAAGTCATCTATCAAGACCTACATAGGCTGGCACCATCCTTAACTGATGTGCGTTTGAGACCCCCACAATTTACGATCTGAAGAATGTTTATACTAACATTCCTAACTTCACTGTGAAAGTCTCTGTCCAAGAAGAAGAATGAACTTGTATTCACCTTCGATACAATACAAAATGGCTACCAGTATGTCCATAGACACATCTGAAAAATAATATGTTTAGGCCTATGAAATTGATTCCTTTCGGCCCAATAGTTCTGACATTTCTACCTGGTGGACTACAGTCATCTAACCCACACAACCGAAAGCCAGTACTGCCCACAACATTGGCCCTGGTGCCACTGTGTGTCCTCGCATTCCCTGCCACCACTTCCAAGGGTGTTGGAAGAGAGGTGCAAGAGAAGCCCCTCTTTAGCTCCATCTCCTCCAGGTACAAGACAGGAGGCCACAGAAGGGCATATGAAGCTTTATGTATCCTTTCAAAAATATTTATAGTCTGTTAACATTTACAGAAACTTTCAGTCCCTGTTCACACCTAGGCATTCTGTGAAAGTGTGCTAAATGTGGGAAAACACACACGCTTTGACATGCATTCACTTAACGCATCAAAAATGTGCATTGCACTTGCAGTGCCATTACTGGGCAAAATGTGCACAAAGTCTCAGGAAAAAAACATGGGACATCTGTAGCAGAAGCTGGGAATGGGGACTCAAAGTAAAAAATGCATTCATTTCAGACATCAGATAAAAATGTCATGTTTGCATACTGTATAATATGATACTATGTTCTCCTTTTGTGTGTCACAAACAAAGGAGTGCTCAGTAGCAAAAAGTTCTTGGAAATTATTCTAAAATGTTGCCAACGAATGTGTACTTTCTGCAGTGTTATGTGTGATAAAAGACCCTGAAAATATAATGTAGTAGATATTATTGTACCGTGGCCATCAATTAATGCCGAAAGTTTTACATTTTATTGGCTAACCTAAGCTAAAAAAAGATGCAAGCTTTTAAAATGCCATAGATCCTTTCAATGTATACATTATACTGTAAATACAAAAAGCTGGAGTTTTGCCTTAACATCTCCTGATTTTCCCATGTGAATCTTGTACTTCCTGTTTGATATTTCCTCCTTTCTGCTATGTGGTGTCCACCTCTTTCCTTCCTATTTTATAACTCGTACAGTGAGGAGGAGTGTCTACAACCATGACTGAAAACACATCACAGTGTTTCTTGCTGTTGCATGCACAGATCAGGCTGTTGCTGTGTTTTCTTGCTAAAGAGGAGGAGGGAAATCTGATAACAGTAATAAAGTCCAGATCTTCCAAACCCAGCCTGTGACATTTGTCCCTGAGTCTTTGACATACTTCAGCTTTCTTTGTGTTGCGTTTACATTCCTTCCCTATCCTCGGCTGGTATACTGAAACAAGGTACAGTAAGAAAAAAACCTTTTGCCAGTCTCTCATTTAACAATGCCACACCACCTTTTGGTATTGCCAAAAGCAATAATTCCTCTAATTTGTCACAGCAATAACCCTGCTTGGGGACAACCAAGCTTGATCCTGAGACATGGCATACAAGGTGGGCTTCAGAATTCATGCACCAAATCTCAGGGTCCTCAGTTCAGTTCCCCAGGTTTCAATGATTTACAAATGTTCTCCTCTGCTCATAACGTGTCTCTTTACATTTTCCATGTGATAGATTTAAACTGTAATATATCACTGTTATCAGATATGAACTGATAGGGGTCACAAATGATTGGCCAGGATATTTAGGGGCCAAACATTTTCACTAATATTCAAGGCTGCAAGGTTAATATAGTGGTTTTATCATTAGTATGTATTGAATTTATGAAGAATATGTGCGCAGAAATTAACTCACAGGCTCTTTTCATTTCTCTATAATACTCACAATTGTGGGGACCAACTTCAGTCTTACATAGGGGCCCTCATTAGCATTTATCTACCTATGTTTTTTTACATTTGTATGTAATGGGGCACTGGAAGAGGAAAGGGTTAACATTTAATCATTTCTAAGACTGCAGTAGACTTGTCCTGGTCAATCAGGGGTTTGCAAGTAGGAAAAAGAGAAACAGAGGGCTAATCATCGAGATTTGTTTGGTGTGGTGCTTTATGGCAAATAGTTCTTGGTGAGCAATTAAAGAGGACCTTTGCCCATATCTTTAAAATAACAACAAACATGCCTTTAGAAATGTCTAGTAATGACAATCTACAAACACATACTTCTAGATAATTGCCGGCTTTGTATTCTTTACATACCTTATTTCTCTTTTCTTCTCCAGTCTTCTGACAGTGGCCATGTTTACTAAGGGCAGATTAATAACTCTCCTTTTACTTCCTGCATTTCTTTCATATGTAACTAGACATGTGACTAGGACATTTGACCATGCACATCATCTCAGGAGAGGAAAATGCCTTTCCCTGAGATCTTGTAAGGTTACAGATGAGATTTCCCAGCAATGCTCTGGCGATGACAAGACAATCCCAGTGTGCATTGCTTTGCCAAACAAGTCATTTTGCCCTTTCAAAGCAGGAAGTGAATGCTCTGCAAGTGTAAGTATTTCAAAATCACAAAATTTTACACCTGACATGCCTATGCTATTATTAATCATCATACATAGAGGGATGCATTGGTAGAATTTGATGTTTGAGTGTAAAGGTCCACTTTAACATGTCTCCAGGTAAAGCCAACCCCTGGCAGCATGTAGGCTTAGCTCCTTATGGCCGATGTGGACAAAGATGGAGCCATGGGAGAAAAATGAGTGTTAGGTTGGTGTTTTTTTGTTATTTGGCATTGCCTCTGAAGCTAGGAACAAATGCTACAAAGATGTACAATAGCTGCATCAACCTACCCTGCTTCTTAGTTGAATAAATATGTAGTTATTAACAGGGCAGCCATCAGGGTGGTACGTCCGATACTCATGTAAGGGGCCCGAGGGGCCCACCTGGGTCCCTTGCATGACAATCGGCCGACGGTGAAGGGCGAGGAGGCGGAGGCCTGGCCCTAGCAGCGCAGGGCCCCAGCATTGCCGCTCCAGTGGATTTGAGACAAGCTAGGTCCCCATCAGCGACGATGCTCGTCTGATGTCGGACTGGCCGGTAGTGACGTCACGGTAGTGACGTCACGTCACTTCTGGCTGGTCCGAATTTAGAGGAGGCCATGTGTGCAGGTAAGAGGAGCTAGGAAGGAAGGGAGGGAGGGGAGGGATGCAGCCCTGACCATCCCACCTGAGACCCCTTCAGAGCCCACCATAGACAGTCTCAGATTGGCTGTGCAGCATCTATGGTGGGCTCTGCAGGGTCACTCTCAGGTGGGTCCTGTGTCCAGCTCGTCACTAAGCCCTGCGTCCAGCGGCGCGTGGGGGGGGGGAGGGCCCGGCCTAAAGCCGTGTAAGGGGCCCCAAAATTTCTGATGGCTGCCCTGGTTATTAATGAAGCTATATAAAGTTTGTGCACAAGTTCCCAGCAGTCCCAGGGTATAAGTCTCATTTTAACCCCACATCATAAAAAAAAACTTGGGATGGGTGTCAAGAGTGAACCATTGTAAAGAAGAAGGTGCCAAGGGCACATGAGTGAGAGATGTGAGCTTGAACGACCTGTAGCAGCATGGGGTCTAGGGGTGACGAGTCGAGGCAGAAGGTGCGCCGCCTCAGGTGCTATCCTGCTGGGGTAAGGGTACAGCTAGGGCTGGGATACATTACCGTACATGCTAAGTGCTGGTAGCTTTTGGCACATAGT